CCACCACTCACCTAAGTCGCGACCTTTCATTCCTCACATTCTCTCCTCCCTTATTCCCCATCTCCGATCATACCAGTACACTCCATGACTCCGACTTTTCTATCTAACAGTCTAACATCATTCCGGCTCCGGCCTCTCCTTCCTTTCTCCTCCGAGTCCGACAGACCACAGGACACTCTCCAATTCCGACTTCTCTCTCTACTTTAAGCCTCCGAAGTGAGTTGTTTATGCACTTCAGGCTTCGGGCTTCAGGCTTCAGGCTTCGGGCTTCAGGCTTCAGGCTTCAGGCTTCATCCTCTTTAAAGAAAATCAAATCATAATTGTTCCTGATATAAAAGGAAAGAAAGAATAAGATTAGATTATAAAAGAAGAAATATCATGTCATTGTTCAAATCACAAGAAATTAATTTACCAATCGATTAATTTTAGTTAATAAGAGATTTTTAGTTAATTATTATTTTTTTATATTATATATCTTTTACTTTAATAAATAAAATTGTTTATACGTAAGAAAAGAATGAAAAAGAAATAAAAATACAAAATTAAGTTTATGTATTAACTCAAAGAATGAAAAAGAAATAAAAATACAAAGTTAGGTTTATGTATTATCTCAAACTACGTATTTTTAGAGATTGAAATTGAAGGTAATTATTTGGTCATTTTCTAGAGTTCTCTCTTTAAGCAACAAGTTAAACACTCGATTAAAATCTTTGTGAAAAATCAATTTATATTAATTGTATTTTCATTAATAAGAGATTTTTAATTAACTATTATTTCTTTATTATGTATCCTTCGCCCTGAATGAAGAGAAATAAACAGGCCCATAAGGGTTTTATACTACATTATTATGTTGTGGCACTATGCTTTGTTATCATGAAATGGTGCGAAAATCTCTAAAGAGGAAAACACAATATTACATTATTTGAAATGGTGCCAAAATAGGTTTTACATATTCATTTTTGTTCATTTTTTTTCTTACATATAAGCGATTCTATTTATAAAGTGAGAGATACATAACATAAAAAAATAATAGTTAATTAGAAATCTTCTATTAATGAAATACAATTAATATTAATTACTTAAAATTAATTAATTGATAAATTGATTTCTCATAATTTGATCTATCTTCATAATGACATGATATTCCTTCTTTCTATAATCGAATTCTATTTTTTCTTTATTTTATATTAGAATCAATCATATTATGATTTAATCCTCTTTACTCAACAATGTAATAACATGTCTTCCTTTTTCTTACTTATTTTTTATTTTATTTATATTATTATTATACCATCATAAAATTCCTACTATTAGAGAATTTCTTACCATATTATAAACTTCTTCACTCTTCTCTATACTATTTTAATTCTACTTTTCCTATTGTAATCGTTGTATGTTTGATCTTCTAGGCCACAAAGATGGTAAGGAAGAGAAGCAATAAAGATGGCCCACTTCTAAAGCTTCCTGGTTCTTCAACATCGACATTTTATCACTGCATTACTGGGGATAGGAACAGATTTTATAGCAAGAAGAGAAAATAAATTTAAATTTTGTCAGCACGCGGGTTGACCCATAACCCGTTTAGACCCAGCCCGTTTGACCCAAATCTCATTCCATTCCAATCCTAACCTGGCCGACTCATTCTGTGTGTTTACTGTTCTTGTGAAATTTAAGATATTAAAAAAAGTAATATTTAAAATCAATAACACATCCTTAAATTTTTTAGAATAATATGTCATCTTTAAAAAATAATTTAGAGAATTTATTTAAAAATTTATTCTTTAATTAATATTTTTTTAAAAATTAATTATTAAATTAAAAATTTATTTATTAAAAATTTTATTTATATAAATTATAAATATTAATTTTTATATTAATTTAATATTTATAATTTTTAATAAAAATAATAATTAAAAATAAATTTTTAAATAAATAATTGAAAAAACTACAAAACCCTTTTCCCTATTTTTTTTTCCTATAGCTATTCAGATTTCAGAAAAAGGTTGCAATTCCAAATGCTCGAAGTTCATTTCAGTTCATGGATTTACACCAAATTAATAAACAAAGAAAATCCATTATCATCATCTACTTTACGTAGTAAGGAAGATCAAGCACATAGAGCAAGAAATATGCCCAAACGACACCAGAGATGCCACCAAAGAAGAACCCTCCAGTGAACTTAGCCCATCCGTCAGCTGTCTGCAGCTCATCCGGCTCCTTCTTCCTCCCAGTCAATGTCAAGCTTGGTGCAGTCGAGGGCTCTCCTTCATTAAATGACGAGACGCCGTAAATCGTCAGGCAAATGCTAAGAATGACAACCAGACCGGCTGCAGCCAGGGACCCAGCAGGACCTGCGACCGGCGTGTTCCGGAGTGGACCGGTCTTGACGAACGGACCCACCAGGAGGAAACCGTGGGCCAGACCCACTTCGATGCCACGGAGAAGTGGGCTCACCGCAGTTCGGTAGGCAGGGAGGTTGGAAAGATACCAGGCAATCAGTGGACTGGAGGTGATTGGAGTCTCGAGGCTACCGATGAAGGGATCACCATTGATGGGTTGAATCACTTGGTAAGTTGGCTGAAGAAAGAATGGAATTCAACAGATAATCGAATTTAAGTCAAATAATAAATCTAAACTTCGAATATCACTCTGTTTTGGCTCACCTTGTCTGGTTGAATAGCTCTGACGGTGAAGCAGGGAGTTCTCTTAGGTGAGACACGGAAAGGAACACCAGAGATTCCCAGGGGAACGGCCAGACTTTTTCTGATCGAAGATGAGGTGAAAGTGGTCTTGAGGTGGGTGGAGGCCATCGGAGAAGCGGTGGTGGCCATTGGTTTGCTTTTTGTGTGGACTCCGAAGGGATATTGTTTTGGAGTAGAAATATGTTATTTGAGGAGAAGCAGGGTATCGATTGCTTGGAAATTAGTGGCTGTCAAAGGAAGAGTGTGCTGAGTTGGATGGTTTTTATTGGATGGAGAGTGAAGTAGTCTTATCTTTATCTATCCACAAAGACAACACCTCAAATGTTGCTCACATAGTCACATGGCATTGATGACGAGCTAGGGGATCCTTACCAGTCGGACCTTAAACTCAAGTCTCTCAAGTCAAGGCTAACAGTGTATGTATAATACTATAATCATTAGATTAAAAATGAATTTAAAAATTATATGAATTATATTAAATTATAAAATAAAATTAAATGAAAAATATATTTTTTAATACTAAAAGACTCATTTTATATAATAATTTAAGTTATATAATTTAAATTGATGTAATACTTTTTTATTAAAAAAAGAGAATTTAAAATGAAATAGATAAAAATACTTCAACTTATAAGATTGATTCAAATAATTAAAAATTCATTTAAATTATGTTAAGAATATAAGTTTAAATTTTTTTAATATTATTTGAATGCAAACAATATGATAAGTTACCCTCGTCACCCTTAAAAGTAGAGTCTCATATAATACTTATAAATAAAATGATTTGCAACCTGATAAGTTACCTTCATCATCCTTAAAAGTAGAGTCTCATATGATTTTTACGAATAAAATGATTTGTAAGTATTTTATAAACCCAGAGTCAATGATCTTAGTATATACGTAAATTATATATATAAGAAGATACTTTATGTCTTCATTTCAAGTTCTCTTAGGGTATGTTTGGGATTGCAATTGAGGATTTTTTTGTGTAATTATACAATACTTTTAAATATGTGTATTTGATAATTTTTTTA